TTAAAGTATTAAAATGGATAAAGATAAAGTCAAGAATATTCGACGGGCTGCAAAAGGCACATTAACGAGGGCATTTATCGCTTGTAAGAATCTTATTGATGCTCAGCGCCCTGTTGTCGAAGTCAAAGAAGCGTTTGATGTTGTTAAAAATGCGTATAATGGTCTGGAAGTTAAGCATGAAGAATTTACAATGGTGTTAGATGACACCCAATATGACGAAGCTGAGGAATGGATGCAAGCTTGTAACAGTGAGTACATGAAGTTTTCTATGATGTATAATGATTATTTGAATGCCAATGTTGCTGAAAAGGAAAATGATGATGTAGTAAATCAGGCTATAAATGAAGATGGAAATAATGCAAATGTGGACGGTGAGAATGATGAAAACAATAGTGTAAATGATGACCAGGAAAGTTTAGATATGCATGAGCCTGCTGAAGACGAACTAAGTAGTGTGACAAAGAATGTGAAATTGTCAAGCCCCTTTGCCATGAAACACGAGAAGCCAAAACTGCCCAAATTTGATGGAGATGTAAGACAGTACTTTATTTTCAAGTCAGATTTCCAGCATGCTGTAGAAGCCCACTGTTCTGAAAGGGACACCCTTACAATTCTTCGGTCGTGTCTTAATGCCCAACCAGCAAAGTTGATCGAAGGGATAAGTTCAGATTTGAAAACAGCATGGAAGTACCTAGATCAAAACTATGGGAATCCAAGAGTGGTGTCAGACACAGTCACATCAGATCTAGAGAAATTTAAGATAATCCAGCCTGGTGAGGATTATCGCTTCTGCGAGCTTGTTAATTTAGTGCGAAGATCATACAATATTCTGAAAGAAGTCAAGAGGAAACAAGATATCGACAACACCCATGTAATATCCTTGATAGAGAGAAAGATGACCAAAGATGATCTTAGAGTATGGTCGCGCCATATCAACAGTCGTAAGTTTGAACCGTCAATGGAAAATCTTCTTGAATGGATGGAGGAGGAGATGACAGCCCGAATACGTTCTGGTGCCACAATCCGTAAGAACACTGGAACCAGATCAGGGGTAAATGCATTTGGTTATAGAGAATCGAAAGGGGGGGAAGTCAAATCGAAATGTTATGTTTGTCAGGAAAATCATTATGTAGATGAATGCAAAAAGTTTATCGATATGACCCCCAACGAAAGATGGAAAGTCGTAAGGGAGCAAAGAGCATGTTTTTCATGTCTGAAAAGAAGTAAAGGTCACACTGCTGTGAACTGTACTCGAAGGAGAGAGTGTGGTCAAGCAAATGGGAATGGTGACAACTGTAAGAAATACCATCACAAGCTGCTCCACTGCAACAACATCGAAGAGAGAACAGGTAATCGTGTCCATTCCACCCGAGATAACAACAGTACTACTATACTCCCTGTAATTACTGGTTTAGTTAAAGGAAAGGACAGTGTTATGTCAGAAGCTAATGTATTTTATGATAGTGGTGCCCAGATCTCTATGATTCGCAGAAGTTATGCGGAATCCTTGGCATTGGAAGGAAAGCCTATTAACATTGTGATCACTAAAGTTGGAGGAGTGGAAGAAGAGTTAACAACAAAATTGTATAAAGTTCCAGTGCACAATTCTGATGGGAAAAGAGTCCAAATAGTTCAAGCAGTTGGCATCGCACAGATTTCAGAAGACAGTCCCAATGGTAATATAAGCGAAGTCTCAAAAATCTTCGACATTCCTACTAGTATGCTGAAGCGCAAAGTTGGCCCGGTCGACCTTCTGATTGGAATTAATTACCCACAGTTCCATGCTGGTGAGACTAAAATTAAGAAGAATCTTGCCGTCAGAAAAAGTCCACTTGGTTGGGTGGTCTTTGGGACTGACTCAAAGGAAATGACTTTCCAAAACAATAACGTTTTGCATGTGCGTCTTGCCCCTCCAGTTGATTTGACAGATTTTTGGAAAACCGAATCAATGGGTGTTTCTCCCTCGTTATGCAATTGTCAAGAAGTTGAGATGTCTTTGAAAGAACAGCAAGAGTTAAAGTTGATAGAAGAATCCTGTGAGTTGGTTGGCAAGAAATGGATAATGAACTATCCTTGGAAGAAAGACCCTAGCCAATTGCCAAACAACTATTCGCAAGTCCTGAAGAAGCTGGAAAGTACAGAGCGTCGCTTGAGTAAACAGCCCAAACATGCCAAAGATTATGATACACAGATAAAAGAAATGGAAGATAGAAAGTTCTCGAGAAAGTTAACACAAGAGGAAGTCGCAGAATGGAAAAAGCCAGCCCATTATATCGCTCACCACGCCGTAGTTCGTGAAGAAAAGAAGTCTACGCCAGTGCGTATCGTTTTCAACAGTTCAGCGTCGTTCAAAGGACACTGTCTAAACGATTATTGGTACAAAGGTCCCGACCTACTGAATAACCTTTTCGGGGTAATACTGCGTTTCCGAGAGAATGCTGTTGCTGTTTGTGGTGATATTGCAAAGATGTATCATATGGTTGGCATCCCGCCAATTGATCAACATGTCCACCGCTTTCTTTGGAGGAGTTTCGAGACAGAGCGCGAGCCTGATACCTACGTTAAGACAGTTCTTACGTTTGGGGACCGTCCATCGCCCACCATGGCCATCGTTGCAATGCGTAAAACTGCTGAGCTGAAAGAGGATGTCAAGCCGGAAGCTGCCAATTCAATCAAGAAAAATACCTACATGGATGACATATGTGACTCGCAGAACACCGTACAAGCCGCCAAAGAACTGACAAGAGATATTGATGAAGTACTTGATGCTGGCGGATTCCACGTCAAGGGATGGGTATCAAACGCAGTGTTGAATGATGAAGAGCAACAAGGAGAAGTCGTACTTGGTCAAGATCCGCTGAACGATACACAGAAAGTTCTTGGAACAGTTTGGAACCCTCAACAAGATAAGTTTTCATTCAAAGTTAAATTGGGACACACTGATGTTTCAGAATCGGATGAATCCCTACGCTCTACAGTTCCAGGAAAGTTAACAAAGCGTATCATTTTGAGCAAGATATCTGGAATCTTTGACCCGATTGGAGGTGGTGCCGCTGTTCTGATAAAAGCGAAGATAGCGATGCAAGAGTTATGGCTACGAGGGCTGGGTTGGGATGACGATGTCCCACCAGACGTCAGAAAGAAATGGACGGTGTTGTTCAATGAAATGTCTACCTTAAATGAGATTGAATTCGAGCGATGCTTAACACCCCTGAATGCAATTAGTAATCCATGGTTAATTGTATTCTGTGATGCTTCTCGGTTGGCATTTGGTGCTTGTGCATATATGAGATGGCAACTTGAAGACGGAGCATTCGGCGTAAGATTTGTTGCTGCGAAATCTCGGGTGGCGCCATTGAAAGAACTCACAATTCCTCGCCTGGAATTACAAGCTGCAGTCTTAGCTAGCCGCTTGGCTAAGGCCATCCTGAAGGAAACCCGCCTGAGGATTGCACGAACAATCTTCTTCTCGGACAGTCGTGTCACACTTGCATGGATTCAAGGACAGCCGCGAACCTATAAGCCCTTTGTTTCTTGCCGAGTTAGTGAGATTCAATCAAACTCCGACCCTTCCAACTGGCTCCATTGTCCCACTGCAATGAACGTGGCGGACGATTTAACGAAAGGTATTTCGGCTGAAGAAGTGAATGGTAGATGGTTAAACGGTCCGGTGTTTATACAGTTACCCGAGGAGCAATGGCCGATGGAAACTGGCGTACCAGAAAGAAAGGAAGTTAACAAAGAAAGGAGACAAGTCAAGATCGTATGTCCTGTCGCTGTCAGCAAGCCGTTATTCGACTGTAAACGGTTCTCGAAGTGGAAACGAGTAATAAGGATCACGAGTTACATCCAGAGATTTATCCAGAATTGTCGAATCAAGTGTGGTCGAAATGAGAGAAATCAACAACCAGAAGTTGGTCCATTAACCAATCAAGAATTGGAAAACGCGGAGGAGTACTGGCTAAAACAGATGCAGTCAAATCTCTTAAAGAGATTACCTAGAGGCGATTTCAAGACCCTGTCTCCATATAAGGACGATAGAAATATCCTCAGGGTAGGAGGTCGTGTGGATCCAACCTTAGTTTCCTACGATGAAAGACGTCCCGCACTTTTACCATATGATCACTATCTGTCCACCTTAATAGTCCGTGATGCTCACGAAACAAGTCATTCTGGTGTCGCCACGACAGTCGCCAAAATACGTAGAATGTATTGGGTCATCAAAGCTCATAGGATTGCGAAAGTCGTCAAGCAACGGTGCACAACATGTCGAAAGCTCGAAGCGAAAGTTGAAACCCAGCTCATGGCTATCCTACCACCATTTCGTTTGCAGCCGTGCACCCCACCGTTCCTCTACTCAACGATGGATTACTTTGGACCAATCAACGTAAAAGTAGGCAGAAACAAAACAGTTAAACATTATGGTGTAGTATTCACGTGCATGAATACCAGAGCCATCCATTGCGAGATTGCAGTTGATGCCAGCACGATGGAGCTCTTGCAAGTCTTAAGAAGGTTCTTTTCATTCCGTGGTTATCCGAAAGTGCTCTTATCTGACAACGGAACGCAGATGGTAGGAGCAAACAACGAATTGAAGTTAATGATCGAAGGATGGAACAAAGATCAATTGGAAGAATTTTGCGCAGCCAGAGGAATGAAATGGCAATTCATCACACCATTGGCACCGCATCAAAATGGATGCTCTGAGGCGATGGTAAAAAGTGTGAAGCTAGCAATGAAGAGAGCAATCGGCGACGCCCTTTTAACACCATTCGAGCTATACACGTGCGTTTTGGAAGCTGCGAATTTGGTTAACCAACGGCCGATTGGAAGAGTACCAACAGATCCGGATGATGGCGGATACCTATGTCCAAACGATATACTATTGGGCAGAGCTACGAACGCTGTGCCTCAAGGTCCGTTCCGAGAAACACAAAATCCTCGCCACCGATTCGAGTTTTGTCAGAGAATTATTGATGCTTTTTGGAAGAAGTGGTCAAGAGACGTCCTACCGCTATTAACCCCACGAAGAAAATGGAATACGCAAAGTCGTAATGTAACGGTGAACGATTATGTTATAGTGTCCGAGCCAAACGCAGTAAGGGGAAAGTGGAACACCGGAAAGATCGTGGAAGTCTATCAGGGAGAGGACGGGTTGGTCAGGAATGTGAAGGTGAAAACTGCTACGGGAACCTACAGCCGACCTATCAACAAGATATGCGTAATTTATCCAGCAGAAGGCTACGAAGAGGAGTGAATGGGAGTTCTCCCATTGTCGGGGGGAGTGTTTCATTGACGATGAAAGGACTTCATGTAAGACTATTTTAATGTTTTAGTTAGTCGGAGTTTACTCGGACCTTAGTCGGAAGGGTTCGTAGGAAAAATGTGATGAGCTTGTAGAAATGTTTTGAACACGTTTTCGTATGGTTTTATGAAGTTTATAAAGTTTTAAGTAAGGTTTATTATTGTTAAATGTTAAGATAAAAGGAAAAGGATACTTGCTTAGGACAGATGTAAGTAGAAAGCCTTAGTTAATTCATTTTTGTGATTTAGTACTAATTTAATATATGTAAACATACCGATTTAATTTCATTATTATTTAGTTTCAGATTGTTGTTATTTGTGAATAAATCTTAATACTGAAATCCCAAGCGTGTATTGTATTATTGGATTATTGTATGTTAGCTCCAAGTTATCGTCGGTCCAGTTTCTTTGAGCACAAACAGATAAACCTAGTGTAAAAGGAAAATCCGAATCTTCAAAGATATTCACTTTTCCTCTTGTATTATACAAACACGAGGATGTTGACTCATGCCTGTGGTAAGCGGTTAAGAGGGTGAAACTACATGATCTTTGGAGTCTAGCAAGTTTGGCAAAAACAACAGTAAAGTTTCATTTTAACAATAGCACTTAAGATATATTTTGCTGCCGCAAAGATGTGATACATGCATCTTTGTGTAAATGCGAAAGCAACATCATCCAACATGCAGTTGCTATAATTGCAGTAAAAATTCGTACTTTTGCACTTGGCTCTTCAATGCTTTCTTTCACAGGAATGGGAACTCTTTCTAACAGTTTGTTTAACTCGAGTTTCTCTTCCTAAAATACACAAAAATCAGTATTTTTCTCCCAAAATTAAAATGTGGAATAGAGTAGAAAAGTATCGAACCTACCTCTCGAACTGTGATATATTTAAACTCGGATGAAAGAGAGAAAACTCGGAATAATTCAATTTCACTCAATGTTGGTTTCAATAAACTGTTATATACAGATATCGTGTGATGAGTCAAATAATAATGGCTTGCTATTCTCCCCAATTCTGTCACCTAAACAGCAATAGAATGATCATAAATTTTACTACAATACTTCAAAAAGGTTATCAGTATATACTTAATCCAGTTTTGTATCCAGGTCGTGGTGAAGATTCATATGCCAGCTCCTGACGTCTCTGAGATTATGGCTTTGATTCATGCTGCGAACTCATTGCAGTTATGTGAAGAGTCAGTCAACGCCTCACATACTTATAAATATGTAAACTACACACCTGAAAATTGCCAGTCTTTCTATCGTATCTCATTAGATTATTTTTATCCAACAAACTTGCAGCCGAGTGGATTAGATCAGCACGACGCTATAATATAGAGGTAAACTGTTGTACAGCAAACTTTCAAATTTGCAAAGATTGCGTTTCCTGGGACAAGTTAAAATTAACACAGGAAGAAGACGTTTTCTCTAGTTCGGGCAAGTGCAGGTAGATTTACAAGAAGCTGGCCGTCTCACAGTTGCATATATTACACCCATATCATATAGAATTGATCTATTATAAACACGTTATTGAGTTTGCCATGCACGCGTTTTTGTTATTTACGGGTACTGCATGAAGGTCATGGTCACCTAATTTGAAAGAGTCTGGATCGATCTTTTCTTTCGTTTGCTGTATATTTGCAGAGATATATCCACACACCCTGACATATAGCCGTACAGCCATGGTTTAATTTAAAAGAAGGCTTACAAAAATCTTATCCAAAGCAAGTAATTTTGATCACTATTTTAGAAGTTACATCTATAGGAAGATAAGTTAAACACGCCACTGTTATCATGTACAACCAAACAAACAACTGTAAATAAACATATGGTACCTGTCCTAAAGGAGTATATACAAGCAAACAAACACAACAAAAGTAAACAAACTACTAACCTGTTCTAGTAGACTGTCTTTCTCCAAATCATCATGTGAAATACCATACAATGTTGGATTTCTTAACATTCGAATGTACAAGTACGTATAACCTGAGGTGAAAATAAACAACAGAGAACTTTCATTACTACCATCATCGCCATCACAATCACCACCATCATCACCATCATGGCATCACTATGATAATTATTATAACCAATTATTACCATCACTACCATAATCATAATTATTATCACCCAGTACCATCATCACTGTCAATATCACCATCATCGCTACCATCACCATCATGATCATGATCACCATCAACACAATACTCTACCTATACAAGCTATACACCATAATACCATATCCTACTTGTGTATGTTTGTACCCCTAAATGTACTCACCTAACCAGTTAACTGCCTCCTTAGCGTTCTGTACAGTACCCAGAACGATCTCGGCGTTCAAACTGTCCGCTATCTTCTCTATAAAATGACTTTCAACTGGCAACTAGAAAATGACAAAACAACAATTATAGAACATAAGACAATTTCCTTTGAAACATACTGATAGTGAAGCTTTTTTCCACTTTTGGATAAAATTTCCTCATTTTAAACTCAATTTAAATCCAATCCCTAATCCAATCTTAACCCCATATTCCTAACCGTAACCCTAAACGCCAAATCATAGTCTATCAAGATATAGTGGGCTAGAAACAGAAGTCATTGTGTTATGTTTGAGTTTATGTAAGCTCTTCTATTTTATGGTTTTGAAGTTTGCCGTGTTTCCACTTTCCAGACTATCATATCTTGGGTTTCCAGACCATCATATCTTAACAGACTATGGCCAAACCTTAACCTTACTTTTTGGGAAATCTTTTCGGGATGGCAATAAGGAAAGTCACTCACCTGTTGGTTCATAAGAGATAAATAATACTGTAGTTCAGAATGGCTGGTAATTAATATTCCTTCGCCTTTCGAATCATATTGAGGTCGTCCTGCACGTCCCAACATTTGAAGCACATCAAGTGCGCCAAGCTCTACCCAGCGACCTTTCTCTGGATTGTAGATCTACGATTATATTAAAAGCAGAGACAACAATGTTATTAATATTATTACAACAATTAGCATTTTTTTGCACTTTTTTTTGAGACACCCTGTATAGCACAAATTTTACATGTGGATATGATCAAATGCGCCTTACATCAAGTATCACGCTTACCTAATTACATACTTTAATCACGTACTTAGCCTAGATTATTTTGTCTTTACAACAATTGTGATATTACTTTCTCAAATGAATCGAGACGTAACAGAATGTTTTCGTTTGCTGATTTGAATAGAATTCTTAAGCAAGCATAACGTAATTAGGAATTCTATTCAAGTAATTTTGCATGCGTAATTAAGATATTTGATGAAAACACTAGTGACTTTCATCAAATATCTTAATTACGTATGCAGCTAAACTCTTGTGGTGCTGTGTCTGACGGTGTTTGACCGCGGTATCCAAACAGCATCTTGTGACGGAATGCTTACATGCTATTGGTTTAATTACTCATGAATTATTAATGAATTTGAGAAGTAATATATGAACAACGAGAGCGAGTGTTTCACCGGGATATCCAAACACTCGAAAACAATGTATGAAAACACGAGCGCTCGTGTTTTCATACATTGTTTTCGAGTGTTTGGATATCCCGGTGAGACACTCGCTCTCGTTGTTCATATATTAAGCAATTATTGGATGAGGCTGGCTGAGCATGATATCAAGAATTATTCAGACCGAGGTCAATGTTATCTGCCGAAGCAAAGCTGAGGCGGATAACATAGACCGAGGTCTGAATAATTCTTGATATCATGCGAAAGCAGAATCCAATAATTGTTTTATTATACATTTAAAGACATGAGGAACGTATAAAACGATTCCTGTTCACGAGGTAGGAAAAGTACAATTTGAATATCAAACACCTTGCACAAAGTCAAAGGTCAGCTAAATATTATATTTCTACTTCTATTTACCCCTTTGTGGGTTTTTTCGTGCTTTCACTATCCTTATCTGCCAATAATTTGGAGAGTTCACTTTCATTCAGCGAAGCAAATCTGCTGCCGGCCATTGTTTGTTTTTTCCCCCCGCGCTTTAGGTTCAAGCTTTTGGCCGCGCAAGGGTTTGGGCACCAGAGAGTCCAATAATTTTTTTTTTGGATGCAAGTTCGATCCAAAAAAACAATTATTGGACGCTGATGACGTCATCGGCGGAAAATACGTAATAAATGCCGAATACTGAAAATTAGCCGGTGCTTTCTGACCAATTAGAAACGAGAATACATATTAAATGTATAATAATACTTCTTAACTGTGTTTATCCAGACCCACCCTGTCAACTTTTCCCTGTGGGAGGAAACCGGAGCGCCCGGAGAAAACCCACGACTTTCGGCAGAGCGTTGACAGACTCTTTTCACATGAGTCCGTAGCGAGAATCGAACCCACGAACTCAGAGTTGAAAGGCGCTTTCTCTGACGACTGCGCCATCGAATCACTTGTTAAATTCAGAAGTGATTTCATTAAAGAGGTTGTTAAGGCTTTTCTGCGGTCGTGTAGTTAGTTCGCTTGTTGCCAAGGTATCAGTGTAGTAAGTACGCTTCTTCAGTCTTTCAAAATCGTTCGATGAAAAAATTCCAAGAATATGGAAATCAATCTCTAAAAGAGCATATTACTTCAAGAATCTTTGACGATAGAAAACCACTAGGATCTCCAATATTCTCTGCGGCCCTGGCAACAGTGGGAAGTTGAAACAATGCAACTGTTCTGATGTGATTACCTGTAGTTCTTAGGGTGAGGCGGTTCAGGGTAAAAACCGAAAACCCCGATTTTCATAACTTACGTCAAAATATACTAGATTAAACTTCACCTTACACGTTCAAGACTTTAGTTTTAAAAACAATTGTATTCATGGTATAGTGATCCACTTAGCTTCAGTGCTTCGCAATTTTGCACAAATATGTGGAATTATTGCCATTTTGTTTCAATATTACCGAGTTTTTTTCAACAGTTTTTTCCGAATTTTTTGCCTAGAACAACATCAGTTGAATCGGTTTTAAAAAAAGACATAGGTTTTTCCGGTTTATCGATTAACCGCCTCGCCCTAGCTAACATACACACGAACATCTCAAATCATTAATAATACATGAGTAAATTGGGCAACCATATTGCTTCATTTTGCTCACATGCAGGCCTTAAAATATCGGTCGGTCACGGACATTGTCCGACCCATTCGTCAAATTGTCCGATGTAGAGAGGAAACCACCGGACATTCTGTCGGATCTAAGTGAAACTGAGATTTATTGTTTGTCCGACCCGAGTGAATTGGTGTCCGACCGAACTGTAACTTTGTCCGACGCTTTCTCCACGCACGTAAATCAAAATATACCCTAGTCCAGGACTAGAGGCTCGTATGTAATTATGGAGAATTAGAGTATTGTACAAAAATGAACCGGAAATGTTTTCATTTAGTTCAGAATTAATACATTGTGCTGATATTAATTTGCGTTATTCAGAATTATTTCCGAGCCAAACTGAACTGAAGGTCATCGGACATCATCATACATATGTCCGACTCAAACTCAGAGTCATCGGACATTTTGTCAGACGGCCCTGTAAAAGATATTTTAAGGCCTGGCTTCATGATAGTACTGGATATCTGGTGAAGTATATTGATCCAATCCTAGGACTGGATCAAAATTAATTCAGTCCTTGGACTTGATCAAAATTAATTTTCTATTATTATTATTTATTCGTACGAGATGTCATTTCAAATCCTTGGCTTCGCCTCGGGCTTGATCAAATTACGGGGACTTGAAATCTATAGTCCAGTCTTCATAGTCGGATTTGAAATATTACTTAACACACGATTGTAATATATCTACGCCTGCCCAGATACAAAAACGTACCTGTGTCCCTTTAATAATAACAGTATGAGCAGGCAGATTGACGCCCCATGCCAGCGTTGCCGTGGAAACCAGAACCTGGATATGTTTATCAGCAAACAAATCTTCGACTAAAGTTCTGTCAACTCTGGTCATACCAGCATGATGTATAGCAAAGCCGTAAGGAAGAAGATCTTTCAACTCGGCATTCTTTACTTGATCAGCTTCGGTTCTATAGATATGAAATATGTGGCTATAGTTTATGGCGATAATTCGCGTACTTACGTGTACCGGGGGTACGATTACGGTCTGGTACTTCCTGTTTTCAGCCACGTACCACGTAGGTACGCGGAACTCTTGGTACCACATGACCTTTCAAAGCCTAAGATACTCGTAGTTTAGTTTGTAACGCGTGTCTGACATGTCTTGGCATGAAACATGATTGGATTGATGGCTCGCACCCTGACACCGTTAAATAAAAGTGTGGTTAAATTATTGTGGTTTTATAGGCAGGCTTTTAGCCAGGGTGTCATAACTGGCCGTGCCAAAAATACCGTGGTGTGGCCATCCAAAGGACGGTCGAACGGCCATCTGGCTAAATGCACAGGTATATATTTTATAAATTCTCAAACACTAATCGTTACGAATAGAACAATGTAGTACCTCAAAACTTCAGTACTCGCTGAATCTTCTCTCAAAAACAAACCAAGAGTATCTTTATCTAAACACAGATCTCGTACAGCACGAGCTGTTTTACCAGTTTCCTTTCTCGAGTGAACAAAGATGAGAACTTGATTTCTGCCAGCATTTTCCATTACTTTGTCGTAGACGATATCATTCATGATCTGTTGAAAATATTTTGCAAACATGGAATTCAAGTACTGTACAACTTTTACATTCATCGGCTAAAAGATATACCAAGTTTATTTATTGTGTTGTAACTAAAACGTTTATCACCACAACCATCACCATCACGACCCTTACCATAATCATCATCACCACAACCTCAATTATCATAACCATTGCTATCATTATCATTGCCACAATCACCACCATAATCGCTACAATAATAATCTATTAATCACCACCTCAATCATCACAAACATCACCCTCATCATCATACCCATCACCACTATCACCATTACTACCATTACTACCATCATCACCATAACATCATCAATACCATAACCAGCATCATCATTATTACCACAATCACCATCATCCCCATCAGAATTACTAACATCACTATTTCCAAAACCATCATCAGCACCAATACCGCTGCTATTACTATTATCATCATCATAACCATGATCCCTACAATAATCACCATCACCACCAACCCCCAATCGTCACCTCATCGCCATTCACCACTAGTCATCACAACCATCACCCTCAATATCACTACCATCACAACCATAACTACAATTACTATCACGATCATAACCATCATCACCATAACATCATCAATACCATAACTAGCATCATCACTACCATCATCGTCATCATTCCTACGAGATGCCTACCTGCAATCGTTTAACAGGTTTCTTCTCTGTCACTCCAATATACTGCTGTTCAAGTGGGACAGGTCGAAAACTATTATCAAAGAAATACAATCCTTTGGTGGGATTCACTCTCATGAAAGTTGCTACATCTTCATAGTTTGGTAAAGTAGCGCTGAGTCCAACCAATCGAACCAATTCTTGAGTTGCTTCAATCTGTCTAATAGTTCTAGCCACCTGAAAATATTTAATTATGATCAGGGGTGGATCTAGCCTCATCTGCAAGGAGGCGTGCAGGTTTTCCATGGGGTGGTGCATGCATGAGCGAGCCTTATTGCCCATTCTTCTCTGCAGTTAGCCTGCAAACAGGCGTTTATTCAGGTGGGCATAGCCTGCAAACAGGCGTTTATTATTACTAGGCACACCTGAATAAACACCTGTTCGCAGGCTACCCTGCAGTCTGCAAGGCTACTGTCTCAACATTTTAACTAAAGCATTCTGAGTATTCTCTCGTGAATTAATTTCAAGAACAGTAGAAGTTGTGCTAATCGCTATTCGAAAAGCAAAAAATGTATGGTAAGCAAAGGGTGCTGGACCTCTCTAGGGGGTGCTAGACACCACTATAGATGGAGTGCATAACCCCCTGCACACCCACGGTAGATTCGCCCCCAGTTTACGATGATCCTCAATAACAACTTTGTAGCGATTGTACTGGGAACGAGGTTGCTGTATTGGTGGGTTTCAGTAAGTGTCATGAGGCAGTAGATGGTGATCAACTTCGAAAATGTTGATACTTACAGGAACAACAAAATTACTTTTTTTCCCTTCGATTACAAGACTACATCATATAATAAAAGGAATTATTTTCTCACTCAAATAACTGATGTAGTTAAGAAATGTAATTTAATTCGCTTGCTTCTAGAATTACGTTGACCACTATCAGAGTTTTCCAAATCATGAACCATTTTCAAGATGTTTCATTGTTTTATAATTACGTTACAATGTTTCTTTGAGCACAAACAGATAAATCTATAGTGTAAAAGGAAAACCTGAATGTTCAAAGATATTTACTTTTCCTCTTGTATTATACAGACACGAGGATGTTGACTCATGCCTGCGGTAAGCGGTTAAGAGGGTGAAACTACATGAACTTTGGAATCCAAGAAGTTTGGCAAAAACAACGGGAAAGTTTCATTCTAACAATAGCAATTTTAATCTAAGATAAAGGCGACGATAACTGATGTAGTTAAGAGATGTCGGTTAATTCACTTGCTTCTATAATTATGCTCAGGGTTTGGTAAACAGAATTTTGAGTGAGTAAAAGGTTGGGAGTTATAAAAATGTATTGACATTTCTTTAATATTCTCACTCAAATATAGAAGACTAAAAAGCATGTCAACAGTCATATCTCAATACAATATGTAAATAAATCACAGCCGGTCACTACTTATCTTCATCATTTTCCGATTTGTCGGGAGGCAAATGGTGTCTCCAAAGAAAGTACTTTAGACTAAAATTGCACAAGCAGTTATCAAACTCATGTCACAGAAGTGGTAAAAGACACGAGTGACACCTGAATGGTATCCTTTTGAAAGTTTTTGGCCAGAGGTGAGTATTTCTTTTTAATTGATATGCGAGGTTGGGTAAAAATTTTTTTACTTTTTAATGGTTGGATCAGCAAAATTTTTACCAAAAATATTTCTTTTCGGTGCCACCCCCGCCATAAATAACGATCGCTCCCTAAAGAATTCGATTTTACTTACCAGTGACTCAAGCACAGGTCCTCGCTCATCATGAAGTAAATGTATTTCATCAATGATCAACAACCGCACAAGCTGGGTGTACGTTCTATCACCAGCTTTTCGCGTGATAATATCCCATTTCTCCGGCGTGCAAACTATGATTTGTGTTGCATTGATTTGTTCTCGGTTCAATTGATGATCACCCGTCAATTCTGCCACCTTGATACCGTACGTACTTAACCTCTGCAGAGGAAAGAAGAAGTACCACCTCAATATTAGTCTCCTCCACAGGCAACTCGGTGGAGATCACGACGAAATTTACGTAATATTTAGCAAATTGAGGGGTGGTGAGAGGGCGTGGCAGTAATGACATTTTTATTTCCTCACTGCAGAATTATTCCTCATGACAGCCCTTTTACACTAATGGGGGGGGGGGGGGTGGTGGGTGACTTGACACCCCCACCTCCCAAGAAAAATTTGAATCCTTAACTTAGCAAATACAACTCGTTTAAGCCAGGTTTCTATTCAGTCATTACGGTCATAAATTTATCAGGATGGCCAATGTAACAGAGTGATGATATAGCTCTTCAACCAGAAAAGATTGGTTTATGTATACAGCACTCAAAACACAAGAAAGCATACGAGTCACGATTTAGGAACAGTTACTTAGGGTAAGGATTAGGATTAATATCAGGGTTAGAGTAAGGGTTAGCTTTAGGATTAGGGTTAAGTTTAAAATGCAAAAGAATACAAAATTACAAAAGTCTAAAAATAGTACCTCTTCCTAAACCGTGACAGGTATACAAGAAAGATGTAAACTATTTCACATTTTTACAGTTCTATTATACTATTCACAGTGATGAAAATCCGGCTTACGGATGGACAGCTTTGCTACATAAACAAAACCACTTTACCTCTTACGATATAATAAACATATAAAAAAGTGTACCTTGCTAAAATTTGCAACCATTTCTTGTACAAGAGATTTCATTGGCGCAACATAGATCACTTTGAACTCATCAGCATTAATAGTTCCATCCAGATTAATATGTTTACTGATCTCTCGCAGTATACAGAGTAAAGCAACGTTCGTTTTTCCTGCTCCTGTTGGAGCACAGAGTAGAAGATTTTCATCCTGATGTAGTGCTGTGTTGTGAAGACGACTTTGAATTCGGTTCAGAGTTTTATATCCTTCAAATGCTGGCTGAGCATAGTGTGGTAGAGTCGAGATAGGGACTAGTGCCTGGAAGAAATTGGTTAAGTTTGGGAAATGGGAATATGAGCAGATGCACAGAAGGTCACAGATGAGAAAGTTTTCTCAGTGAGCTCTATATATATCTGGAGTGAGAATTCGACCAGTGAACTCTATAAATACTGGAACGATAACTCCAAGTATTGAACGGTGAAGCCAAGTGATCTCCATGATCTCTTGTAGGTATAAAACACGCGTGTTTTTCGCGTGGGCTTCGCGGGAGCTGAAAAATGACTAAAGTTTTCCGATCGATGTTTTTCAATTTTTGCCCATAAATGCTCATTTTAATGGTAAATATCCTACCTAAAAGCTAAAATTAAATGAAAAGGTAAGGTGATGCAACTGCAGTTATATTAATCTGTGTTTAGTTCAAATCCCTTATAGATAGTTCAGAAAAACAAACGTTTGCTGGTGTTTCTCCACGGGGTTTTTAACTTGTTTTTCACTCGTCAAATAACTTTGCTTTTTATGACGAAGTGTTTCTAAAATTTGGTTATTCTGACAGATAACTTGATCTAGTTTCTTACGGTCACGGTAAAGCCGGACTTAAAAAATAGTTGTCCGAAAAATTATGAAATTTCTACATGAAATGATGTCGATTTTTCGCACTGAATTCGATTCAGTCAATTTCCGCGTGAGGGCCTAGGGCACACCTACAAGACGGGCTCATTAAAATGAATATAACTGGACCGCTACCTTCAGATAAACTGCCTATTATCTTTTCTTGAAGTCAAATCTTGACCCCCAGACACGCGTGTCTGGGGGTCAAACCCGCGTGTTTATATCATGATTGACGGAACTTCAAAAACAAACTTGGCTTCAAAAACAGAGCCAGAGTTATCGTTCCAGTTTTTATATAGAGTTTACTGTATTGGACGTTAGTTCCAGTCCCTTTCTGTTGTGTTTGTCCCAATGGTTTGTCCTACCTCCTCCGCAGGCCCTCGTTGTGTCATGAGAAGGTCACGATTTCGAGAGGGTCTGCGGAATCTTGTAAAATGAATAAATGTTGTTTTGAACCTGCTTCGTTAAAGAAGGCAGTTTTATTCATGCAACGTTGGTGTGGACAACAAACCTTATCGTTAAAAAATGCTTCCTTCCACGTCCTTAGAGTCGCCAGTTTAAAGTTTCACACCGCTTTTTTATATCTGTTTATATTCAAGATTATGTAGAAATTTACTTGCTGACATGACGCCGGCGCCATTTTTTTTTTACAAGATTCCGCAGGCCCTCGCCAGATCGTGACCTTCCCATGACGCAACGATGGCCTGCGGAGGAGGCAGGTGTTTGTCTGCGCTGTTAGCTGCTGGCAAAAATGAAGCTGGCAAGGAGTGTGCCAAAATGATCATTTTAACACTATGGTTTTATGAACTCATAACTTGTTTAGCGATACGGTTCGTCAGAGAAAACTGGAATTAGCTGGCAAAAATGGTATTAAAACTGTTCACGACATTCAGAGCTATTTCCACCATGTTGGTTTCACTTGTCTCTCAGACTGAATGACTGAAGTTTCTTGCTCCAGATATATTGTCAATATTTTGCCGTACACATGAACAAATAAAACATGTCAAGGATGATTACAAGGAAAAATTGCCCGTCAAGGAGGATGTAATTCAAATATCTGCTGTCCTGCAATGCTGACTAAAATATTTGATCAAACATGCACTCACCTCTCCCTCATCAAAGGATTTTGATTTCAAAGCAGGAACATGAACTTCTTCGTAACCTTTTCTTTGTTTTCGAAATGAACCATCTGGCAACTGACATTTTTTGTTGGCCATAACATGACTGCCGTCTTTGAAAGTTAAATCATCCAGGTCCAGAACATTTCGTACTCCGATACGCGACTGTTAAAACAATACAAAGAAAAACTGCAAACCTCGAAAAAAAGGCCAAAATTTTTTTCTTTATCTTTGAAAAACTTTCACTTGATAAATACTTATCCGAGTAGAAGAACTACTATATACAGTCTGTTTGCTGTATTAATACACAGACAAATGATCAGACAATCTTTTCTTTGTTGAAAGCAATATATATAAGACGAATAATACATTAATACTTACAGATTCAATTTCAGCTAGATTGGCAGCTACACGAGCATTTCTTGCAGCTTTTTTACGACTTCGTTCTTCCTAAAATACCGGTACAACGCATGTACAGTATATTATATTTACAGTGTACTTAATATTTATAACTCTGACGCACAGGAGGTTAAGGTAGAAAGCACTAATCATCTTTTTTTTGTATGTGGGAGGTTAATATAGACCTTGATGTTTATTGGACTCCTGCCTAAATGGCCTCGTTTTCATGTAACTGTCTTGTTATCGTCACTACCTACTGTATACTGGTAGAGACCGTTCGTATTCATGTTTGCCTGTTGTACATAGTTTGGCAGGTGCGCATGGGGAGAAACAAAGTTCAGACTTGCCAACTCCAGAGTGGCAGAAATCGTGAGATTTTGTGAAAAACCACGAGATTTTAGAAATTGCCCAGGTTTTCTTATTTCATGGATAATAACACACTGATGTTCTCCAAGCCCAAAACCAATTCAATGAAAAGGACTTTCGGATATGCCAAAGTATGGAATCAAAGAAATAAGTAAAACATTTTTATATCATTTGAAGTGCGAGGGGGAAAATGAGATTTGGGCGAAGAATTTGCTAGTGGGGCGGGGATCCTATAAAATTTCTTAATCTTATTGCTACATGCACGGCCTGATGAAAGCAACCTGATTTTGTATTTTAGCGTATTATGGTTGATTAGTTACCGTGTTAAAAGATGTTTTATAAATAAAGAAATGGATTAAATGTATAAAAAAGTCAGTTCTTTATTTAGCTCGAATTTTTTATAAAATCATGATATTTGATCAGACATTGAAAAACATACTCCTCGTATGTACTGTGTTTAATTAACATCGGAAGTCCTGAGTCATACACTCTCAACCTACAATAGCAGGCTCGGCAGGAAGGGGAGGTATGCCAACAGCATCTGACACCATGCTCCCATTCCCCAGAAGAATACTTTGGGAGGGGCTTTACTCTGTAACTTGTATCACTCTCTAGAGTCAGGACTTTTACCTGTATTAAATCTTCTTCAACACTTTCTGTCAAAGCATGTAATATCGGTGCTAAGTCTGGATCAATTTCCATTTTCTCCTCAATATCTTTTTTCTCTTTGGCACTCTGCGCGCTCGCCAGTAACGTACAGTACAAAACTGTCATACGATTCTTTCTTAGTAACTTTATCAATGCAAATTTATCATGACCAAGTAATAACATCAGTTTATTTTCAAGTTCAATTTCATCACTGGCATTTTTCAAAATTTCTAACACTTCTTCAGATTTCATTCTTGATGCTTCAGCTTCAGTGTAGTATTTTCCAAGTTCTCGTTGCAGCCAGAAAGCATCAATACTTCGAGGTTGTAGGATGTCTTGTGACGCTTGGTTGTTGCCAGAACCTTGCTATAGGTGAAAATAAAATATTAATGTTTCACAAACATGCAGATTCATTACAATATGACACTATTGATAAAATAGTTAACCCATTCATACTCAATTACTCAAACAGGGCTGTGGCTATAGGGGTGGGGTGACAGCCCCTGAAAACGCCTTGCCGGCAAAATAACGGATTTATTGGCAAATTGTTTTCATAGTCAGCAAAAATATTTGAGTGGCTCGGATTAATTAAAAAAGTAGTAATTGTGGCAAAATTTTTGCTAAATTTACGAAAATTACGGAAAAATTTAACAAATTATGATATGACCGGAAAAATCTTCATGTTCGACAAATTTTTTGCAACCAACAATTTTTGGAAAAAATATTATTAGCGACTGAAATGTTGTCTGCAAATGAGATACTACACCCCCACCCCCTTTTTTATCCTCTTCGCTATGGCCCTGTACTAAAATCTTTTGAGTGTTGTCATGGCCTGAAGCTAGAGGGAAAACAATAAAATAACACTAAACATGAAATTAGGGGCCCTGTTAGTGTAGGCTAATGCATGCTGCTAAGTAGTTAAATCTACTGCTTGGTATAGCCAAACTGTTGTATGCATAGTTCTTAGGCTGACAACCCAGACTTAGATGGAGAACTTGACAGAAATAATAGGAGTGCTTTTTACTAACAAATTTCAACTGTTTGTGGCTAAATTTCTATATGTGTTATATGCAAACCCAGAATGGTGTGCAAGTATAATCCTGGGAATTGCCAAACCAAAAAGGTGCTTTTGTCATAAGCTACCTAAGCAGTTAAAAATATTAAAAATAGGTATACCCAATTTGCTGTTCACACTTGGAGGGTACAATTAACTATGACAACCTTAATCGAAATAGCTGTATATACAGTAATTACACTCAAATATTATTGCTGACATTAGAAATTATGAACCTCCAGTTTTATAGATAACAATTAATTTCCATTATTTAGCAACCTACCCAACCATGTAAGGTCATGTTTGTTTCAGCTTCAACTCCACCCTCATCTCCAGATTCCTCCTCATCTTGGATAACATCAAAATCTTTTTCTTCCTGACAACAATTTGATAAAATCATTATTGTTTTATCACATGTTGTTATTTTATCACAAATCTAAAATCTTATCATCTACAGTAGACTATAGTGAGCAATTATGGTTATTGTGAGGAATATTACAACTTAGCATATATACTTGGGAGGTGGATAGTGTTTTTCAAGCAATTTGATTGGATGCTCAGCTCCAGAAATCCTTGAACTATTTATCTCCAGTCAGACTCCAGACAAAAACAAAATGGCTTTCCATTTTGTTTACAGATGAGCAAATTTTTGTACTAAACAAAGCTTCAGTTTTGCAAAACATGAAGAAAGCGACAAAGTTTTGTTACTATTTTGTTTCTATTTGTTTATTTTGGTCACATGACTTCACGATTTGACAGTGCTAATTATTCCCAGTCAACTTCGAAACAACTCAGTACATTACAAGATGGAGATCATATTTTCGCTAAAAGGGAGATCATATTATAAGATAGATACTAGATAGATTGTTCATTACGATTATGGAACTTTAAAATGAACATAAAACGAATATTTCATATATTCTGTTGCATTGACCTTCGTTTGGATGTTTGTGACCTTGTTTACGTTTGAATAACTTGACTGTTGAGTAACGAATTTCTGACGTTTAATTCAAAACTACGCACCTGATTGGATAATAAAATTAGAAACCCATGTGCAAAAATAAATTGATAACAAAATCGTGAAGTTGAATTTGGAATTATCAAACGTCTTTCCCCATTTATCAAACGTCTTTCTCCGTTTGAAATTCTTAGCGGGATGTGGCCAGTTTAGTGATTTTAGTAATATTTCATTTTTTTTTTGTCATAGTTGCTTTGTACAATTATTCAACTCAATATCAGTGAACAGCACAAGCATATTCACCTCAATGTTTCACGTTTCAGTGAATATCCTTGCACTATTCACCTCCACTTCAGTGAATAATTGTCAAATATTTCCATGCAAGTGCAATTGCAGTCGTTACCAGGATATACATGTAATATACTAATATCATCATTACTTTTTAGCATAACGTTCATACCTCCTCATCTTCATCAAACTGTACAGCCACACCATATGTTTCATCAATGACTTCATCTGGAAATATTTATACATACCGCAATGTCAACAAAAACAATTCAAGACAACAACATCATCACAAACAACAACATTAACACATTGAGCACTCTCCACCTGACAAGTAAAATCGTCTGGCGTTAGACAGAGTAAACTAATCTGGCGTTAGAGTAAACTAATAACGTAGGGCGCACCTGGGTGCATTGCCACTTCAAGGGTTAATAACAGCAACACCAATAAGAAGGACTAAAGGAAAAATTTACCCTCATCCATCTTGTCATGGTCGACATAATAATCTGTAATTTTCTTGCCAAGATTTACGAGCAATGCATAACGTTCATCTGGCATATTGCCAAGCAAACCAAGAATATCTTTATGCCGTTCCTTGTCCTACACAAAATAAACACCACGGTTTTGTAAATTAAAAGGGGGAAATTTATTTGGCTGACATTACTCCTGAATGTTGCGAGTAAATCTGGTATCATGCACCAGGGGTTTATATAGAATTAAAGATATCAACCCACCCGTATTTTATCATTCTTCAAAGTATTTAAGACTTCATCAGCGGCCCCAGCTAGAATATCACGAGGTTGATCACCAATCGCAGCTTGAATAAAGCTCAATAAAACTTCATATGTTGACTTTGTTTCTCTGGTCTTCGGATGGTAAAATATTCCAGCAAGATCATCAGCATCATCTGATAATAATGTAGATCCTTTGCTCTTTGAAAACTCTTCTTTTTCCTGCACTTTTCTCCTCCTAAATTACATACCATTATATGCAGGTGAGTTACACAGACACTAGCATGCAGGTGATGGTCACCAACTGATAGTTATATGTATCAGACTGAGAAAATAATGCGATCTAGACCGATTACTGTGGATCACTTAATTTTTTCATTATATGTGCCAGTCTTGTATGTTTCAAGATATGTTGAACTACAAATATAACATTTTGCTGAAACGGTATTTAAAATTTTAACTATTAATAAGTACAGTTTTTCCTAGGGTGAAGCAGTTAATCGATAAACAGGTCAAAAGAAAGAGAAAAAATCTATTTTTTAAAAACCATTTCAACTGATGTTGTTATTGGTAAAAAAAGAAAAACTGGAAAAAGTTCAGAAAACAACTGTTTGAAACTCAGTAATATTGAAACAAAATGGCAGAAATTCCACATCTTTGTGCAAAATTGTGAAGCATTGAAATATATAACTTCCTGACGAAGGGAGGAAGCTTTGTATTTTTCAGGTGTTAGTTGCATCGATCCCTACCAACAAAAGCTTGTTATACCATTAATACAATTTTTTTAAATAGTTCTAAACAATGTTTTTAAAACTAAATTCTTGAACATGTACATGAGGTTTGATCTAATTGCACTATAATTGGGGGTTTTCACATGGTTTTCGATTTTTACCCTGAACAGCCTCACTCTAGTATATCAGATTAATATGGTTTCCAAGTAATTTCCAACCCTCCCCTAGATTATCTAAATACTATGTTATTACATAAATACTATTAATATTCATACTTAGATTTTCTTTCCTCAGATACTTCTGGTTTATTTCTTTGATAACGATCTCCCATCTTTGTACCAGTCAATTTACCAACCAAACTCACTACCTCACCTGTCGCTTCATCACGACCTCGACGCTCAATTAACGAGCGATCTGCTTGCAACACAAGATTGGAATTCTACACAAATAAAAATATGCACTGATCAATATCGACAGTTTTAACTAGACAATTTAATCTCTTTTTCAGCAATTATTGTCTGGTAAAGTTTAGAAAACGTGTGTATGACGGCAATTGCAAATTCAAGTAGCAAGTGTGTGGGCATTACTATACTGTATATGCTCACACCAAGGCTTCGACTTTTGAGGAAGTGCAACTACTGTAGCAAATTGCCAGGTTTTGCTTGTGACAGTGTCACTCCACCAAAATTGCTCACAACTTAACAAGAAAAGCTCACAATAAAAATAACACTAGCAGTTACATCATGGGATCATTACATTTAATGGCATAAGTAATTGTCCCCGAGCCGACGGCGCGAAGCGCCGTGCGAGGGTACTAATTCCCCCCGGCTATTTACACCCGGGGAAGGGAAGCATTAGCGAAGTCTAAAGTTCATCAAATAACGCGGGCGTGGGTCACTGTGCGTGTTTCGGTGGGTGGTCATCCTCACTGATCTCATAACATAGCGGACTGTAATGAATAGCCAACACTGATTGGTCCAATTTAAAATTGGCATTATAACGGCTGCATGACGATTGACGACAGCGAAATTGATTTGATGATTTCTTGCAAATATATTTCATTTTTGCAAGATTTTGTAAATTGCAAAGGATTTTTGATGAAAAAAAGGCAAAAGGATTGCTAAAAGAAGGAAATAAAGTTGCCGACGTTAACAAAGGTAAGTTTGTTTTAAATATTGATGCATTGTTTGCTTTTAATGTACTGTAATCTCGGCTGTAATTACTTTAAAAGCCGATCGTTGCGTATATAAAATATGAAACAAGACAGCGTATTATTTCAGTGCTTCTTTATTGATTACACTTTTTATTATACTAAGCAAAGTTATTTACATGGGAGAATTTGGAATCATTTTATTTCGAACTCAAAGTTTATCGATAAAGGCAGTTTAGTTCTATATTAAAAGAACACTTTCAAACGTTTTGCGAAGCGTTTGTGGTTAAATTTTACCTTAAATTGAAGCTTATATTACGTATAATAACAAACCTACTGTAATTACTTTAAAAGCCGATCGTTGTGTATAAATATGAAACAAGACAGCGTATTATTTCAGTGTTTCTTTATTGATTACACTTTTTATTATACTAAGCAAAGTTATTTGCATGGGAGAATTTGGAATCATTTTATTTCGAACTCAAAGTTTATCGATATAAAAGCAGTTTAGTTCTATAGTAAAAGAACATTTTAAAACGTTTTGCGAAGCGCGTTTGTGGTTGAATTTTACCTTAAATTCAAGCTTATATTACGTATAATAACATACCTAACATATATATGTTTAGGGAATTGATAATTTTGTAATTAAAAGTGATATTTATAGGGATTTTTCATTTGTAAAAATATTCTTAAAAAATTATCGTGTTACCATGACAACTACTTAAAATAATTCACGTTCGGAAAATAAAATGGTTTTGTCAGCAAGACGAGGGTTTCTGCATGCATGTATTTTCTAGTAGCATATTTGAATCGTTATTCACAGACGTAAACCTCCGACTATAAGCCCTCCCCCCGAATATAAGCCTCCCCGTGTATAAGCCCACCACATGTACTAACACTCACCTCATTCCAAATATAAGCCCCCCCCCCAATATAAGTCCACCCAATATAAGCCCCCCGCATATAAGTCCCCCAATTAATATAAGCCCAGTAATCGATGCTTAATACATGTTTATGACTGACTTGTTTATGTCTGATTTGTTTATTACTAACACAAAAGATCGTCCATGTATAAGCCAACCGTATATAAGCCCCCCCCCCTGTACTGTATAAGCCCATCAAAAATCGCTTACGAAAGTATATAAGCCCAGGGCTTATAGTCGGAGGTTTACGGTATGTGTGGACAGTCAAAAAAGCAACAAAATGTTTGCAGATAATACAAACAAATCTGGATAATTATGTAGCTTGGCCTTAAGGTGGTGTAGTACAGTAAAACCCCGCATATAAGAACCTAGAATTTAAGAATCTGTTTAAATAAGAACCTATTCAGGCTATTCTTATATTATCAAATAGAGTCCAAATTAAATCATAAGTTACAATCAGTGTAGCTTTAATTAAGTGCTTATAGACTTGGTATATTACATATACTGTCATTTTTAGATAACTTGTGCATAATTTATATAAATCATAAACCATACTTCTCTACAATTAGTCACCTTTCTCTTAAGAAAATAAGAACCTCTTAAGAACCTGTTTAGCCTAATTTCCTGGTAAGACCATTTACATAAGAACCTGTTTAGGCTAACTTGGAAAGTCTAGGTTCTTACCGTATATGCGGGGTTTTACTGTATGCAACATTAGCGAGCTTAAGCAAGCGACGTTTTTGACAACACGAACATTGACCGGAAGCAAATTTGATGTTATCAACCAATCAACATTCTTGATCCAGTCTTTTAATGTTACTCATGACGTTCGTGTTGTCAAAAACGTCGCTTGCTTAAGCTCGCTATTTGTAACTCACTTCATCAGCAGAAATGAGTATATTTGGGGGACAGAGTAGCATATTTGGGGGACAGAGTGTCAGATGGGCAGTCTAGGACCAGGGTTGTATAAGCGCAATCCATCGGATAAAGAATTTTTCAGTCATTGATTTGTATTACTCAGTTTACAATTTAGTATTTCATAAGTTAAAGGTTTTTTATACTACAATATTTATGGGGATCATATGTGAGGTTTTACAGCTTTTCAGGTATTTTTACAATGGTTGAAGAAATCACTATCTGATGGATAGAGTTTGTATGGACAAGCGGGCTGGCCCGGTTGCAGAGATCTCACTTGAACGAGGCGCGATCTCACTTACCGGGATAGTATCTCACTTGCCCGGATGAAAGTTCAAAGATACTGCCTGCAAGCTATTTTTTAACAACTGTCAAAACAAAAAAATTGTCCCAGCAAGTGGGATGAAATTTTCTCATATAAACATAAGAGAAATTCATCCCGCTTACCGGGTAAACAGGCCCTCACAGAAGAGAAATACATAATTTTCTAGACAAGACCTGGCGCTACGCGCTCTACCCAGCCTTCGTATAGCCGGCTTTTGGTAGCCAACTAATGGTAGCTATCAAAAACATGCTATAATACGCTGAACTACAGACCATGTAAAGTACCAAGCAAACTATCGAGTATACATGACTATTGGGACTAGACAGTAAAACACTGCACACGTGCGATCTTAAACAATGAAGAATTTCGAGCTAAATATTCACTCACCGCTTTGTATTCATACTGTAGCGACCTCGCTGTGGCATCAGCCATGTTGAATCTGTGATCTTTCCCTTGCTATAACCAAAACTAAGACGAAAAACACAGAATTTCTCCAAACTTTAGACGTTTTCAAATCGTCGAACGACGGCCATGATTGAAAACTCTCGGTTTGGTAAAATAAAAACCTGGGAACTAGTGACACAAAGCATCATGGTCATTGAAAATCGCGTTTATTCTAATTTGCTCTAATTGTTACACTGGAAAAGAAAAAAAATTAAAAATTTTGTTTATTATATAACATTTCATGATCTCATCCAGTAAATACCATCATTGGTTAAGTGACCTTACATGTAAGTGAAAAATACTTAATTGACTTTGATACTGAGAAAAATTGTAAGATTATATAATCATTCACTTTAAAAAAACCCCCAATTTGGAAAGATCTTTCTACACACATAAATTCATTACTGCAAAAAAGAAAAATATTTTTATATTGACTTAACTGATCCAAATAAAAGCAACTGAGACAATTAAATAAATATTTATTAAACAAATAGCTCATGCACCAATGCACGAAACTCTAACCTTACATACACGAATGACATATAATCAATTTTACATGAAACATATATATGCCCTAAATACATACTCTATTACAAAACACAGCTACACTACAAAGTACATATAATATAGATTACATTTTTGCCCACATAGAGTACTATATATTTACATACACAGCAATAATCTTGCTTTTTTCGTTTGATACCAGGTATACCATGCAAACCTCAATATCAAAATACCCTTTTATATTAACACCATCTATTACAATGTAATATCTTTATTTGTCTCCATTGAAACCTTATTTCTATCTCAACAACTAAATGTTTACTAGTGTGCTGTCACATTATGACAAACTGGTCAGTTAGGCTGATGCAATACATTGATATTTTCGATAAATATTGATATTTCAAAATGTTTCATGCAACTTTGATGTTTTTGCTGTTTGTTATGAGATATACTGATGCAAGTTGACTAAACTACATTTTCTAATTTTCATAATTCAACATATAGTTGACATCAACATCGATATATACTGGTATGTATATATCAATATTTTTAAATATCACATCAGCCTAATCAGTGTATGGTTTTTAAAAATAAAAAATATATATAGACAATTTTTATAAAAAATAATAGATGAAATACTGAAGAAAATTTGTGGAATACACTACAAATTAATTATGGTATCAGGGTCATTAACTTGATCAATTTCTAAATTTATAAAATTAAAGTAATACAAAGGATCCAGGAAATAATAACTTTTTAAGTGTGCCTCTCTTTTCAAATAGAAAGTTAAGACTTTGTAGTAAAAATGAGAGAAATAGTCTTAATTAATTCCCCTATAAATAAACCCCAATGCCATATTTACTTATAGATGCTTTTCATGAAGACGGCAGCAGGCAAGTGATTTTAATATTAGGCCAAAAACAATATGTGGGTTTCCGGTTTCCCGACCCTACCTAGCTTTTGGACGTCGAAATCCTGACCCTAAACTTTTTTATTGGATCATGCTTGTAAGTGTTTCCACTTAGAGGAAAAAGTTTGTGGAAAATTGAAATTTGAGGCAATATTAGGGAAATCTATCTTTGGACACAGAATAGGAAGTTACAGCAGAAGCGTAACTCTAGTCATTTCCTTTATTGTTTTACGTCCACGAAAATTTTAACTCGCTCACACCAATCCACGTCATCCTGGCTAGTACAACCGTAAGTTTTTACCAGGTTTTGGTAGGTACAAAGTGCCGGTTGTACTAGCCAGGATGGCGTGATTGATGACGAATCGCTTGTAAAAACGCGGACAAATATTTGCTTGAGTTAAGGCGGTTTTCCAGTCCTCGCACGAAGCTCCTCGCAGGTTGCTGCGAGTGCTTGCATCTAATTAAAATAAACTGTTTAGCATTGTGATTGGATGAAAGTGCTCATGCATCACTCGCAGCAAGGAGCTTTGTGCAAGGACTGGAAATCTGCCTTTACGCTTCTGCTATAACTTACTATTCTGTGCTTTGGACGTGGAAGCACTGACTAAACAAAATGGTGTCCGGTTGTTAGGAAAATTTAAAAAAACGTTTTAAAAAAAGGTTAAAATCGACCTACCCTACCTAAATTTTTATAAGAAACCGGAAACCCACATTTTTTGGCCTAGTTTTATTTATGCATCTGAGTCAGTGATATAAATTAAGCTTCACATTGCCAGACCAGGAAATAAGGAGGATTTTGATCAAACATGCAACCAAAACAGAAATTATTTCTTGCATATTGTGGCAAATTATTTATAAACTTTAACATTAAAACATTAGGCTAAAGTGGGTCATAATTTACCATGTTTTCCTGCAGCCATCTTTAAGATAAAATATCCATATGTCTATCTCTTCTTAAATCTTGGTGGTATATCTTTCCTCTTAGCATTGTATGTGTGTTTTTTAACTTTGATTTCGTCATCACTAGAGCTACTGCTGCTGTTGCTTCGATAGTCCCGTTGAAAATAAGAATAAGGCATTTGTGGCTGCATCTATAAATATTAAGTCACAAATGTTGCAGTCTAACATAATTAGTGTTCTACAATAAGCAGATCCTTTGCAGATGAATTAAGATAGTAACTAATTTTTTGCAAAGTTTTACTCCGTTTGATTTGTCCGATCCCTAAAAGAATAGTTTACAGATAAGCTACACAAAGCATATTCCTCTTTTGAGTTTCTAAATTGACTGCAACTCTCCTCATTACCTTTGCAATTAAAAAAACTCCCTTGCAAATCCCTTTTGTCTACAAACTTGCAATGTTGAAACAATGTCCTATGCCTGGTGGGTTGTAAACTTTTTAATAAGGAAATTGGTAGTCAATTAAATATCTTAATTTTGATATATATTAAATATCTTTGTGGAAATTTATTGAAAGAGAGATTTATTGCTTATAAATATCTTGAATGAAAATTCAACTTACATTTTGGTTTATAACTGCTGGATTGTATCCTGCCATGGGATGCATCATCCAATATAAAACACCATCATTGGTTACAACATAATAACCATAACAATCAGCACCACCATAAGGTTCTATAAAATAACCACACCAAATACTATTAACTCATCCTTGCTCAACACTTTCCTGTCGATGAGTGAAATTATCCGGCAAATAACCAAGTGGCGCATGTTGCAGCCAAATCAGTTCCAAACAGGTTGAACTTGATACAAGACAAACTCGATTTTTTACATACCTAAGGGTTGTTGAGGTTGTTGCAAATATCCAAGGTTATTGTAATACGGTGATTGATAAGTCTATTAAAGAAAAATACTACAATATTTAACATGAATTAACGAGAAAATACAATAAAGATAAATAAATCCTCTCTATCTCTATTTTTGGGGGGTACCTCCCAAAATATTTTGCAGCCCCCCCAAAAAGTTTTTCCACCCCACCTAGAGAAATTTGCACCCCCCCCCAAAAAAATATTTTAATGTTCATTGCGATAAATGACAGTAGGGTGATTGAAATTAAAATTTTGAACTAAGACTAAAACCAGGGATTTTGAACTAAATAAGACGAAAAATCTCAAAATGTTCTGGACCCCCATTGGCAACTGTGCCTGTTGCAGCTTGCTCGACAGCACAATATTACTCTGTCGCTCGCATCGCCCTTAAATTTTTGGCACATCCCCCACCCCACCCCCAGCAAAATCTGAAAATCTTTCTATGGATAAATCAATTATTGTTCCTCTTAACTACGATTCTTTTTTTGTATATTACAATACAAACCTGTTGTCCAACGACATTTGTTGTAGTTGCAGATGTTACTGGACTCGATTGAGGCCACATAACAATCTCAGGCTGACAAATTGTGGCTTCTTTCTTTACTGCTGGTCCAATATTTATCTTCTTGTTTTTGAAATAAATTATCCCCATTGATTCGACTTTACTGACAGTACTTCTTTGTTCAAAAGTAACAAAACCATATCTAGAATAAGTGTCAAAAACTAACATTTACATCTGATGGTTTTGAACATTGTTGGATCTCTCACTGCATAAAGAAAAGAAAAACCCTGGCACTTATTATTAATTACTTCATTAATAACTAGTGTATCTACATGTATTCCATGCAGAATAATACATGTAAACTGTATAGTTATCAATTGTTCAAATTAGACAAATTCATTCTACATTTTAATCAATTTGTCTAACTTAAATTTATAGACTGCGAGCGGTCCCTCCTTTCCGCAGGTTTTCAGGCATGCAAAATGAATGGAGGGACTGCCGACAACATATCAAGAAACAAAATATGACATGCCCACACAACGCAAAACTCCCATTGGTCGAAATCGATACGCCTGTCAAATCTGATAAATACTCTTAAAAACATGAGTTTTTCAATGGTCTTCAATAACTCTGGAAAAATAGGAAATGCTGTTTCAGAGACCCGAGTTTCAAAATTTCCCCCGACCCCCTAGGAGATGTATCTGTCTAAGTAGCAAAGTGGTCATCCAAAACACTGGAATCCTGCCCTTTGACAACATCACCGATTAGTAAGGATGAGCCGATTAATCAGCAAATAATCAGCAAAGCCAATTAATCTGCCATTTTTTAAATAATCGGTAATTGGTCGATTATTGCCTGATAATCGGCAAATAAGACTTTTTCTGCAGCTGCTATAAGACTTTTTCTGCAGCTGCCAAGCACTGATGCCAAAATACTGAATACAAGCAAATAGATTTTCACATTTCATGCAAAACCTGTGTCTTTTGTCTAAAAACCCGCATCAAGATCATATGGTCTAATGTTTCAAAGAGATAGTTCAGCATCTGACGAAGACATTCCAAATCTTAAAGATTTAGAGGTCAACACATTTCTCATTCTTCCCTTTCAACCGTTAAAAGCATGTCCTTATGCCTGGTGGGTTAATCCAACAAACTGAATATTTTCAACATTGCGCTGAAGTATCTTAGCCCACCAAGTTCAAGCATATATTTGGAGCGCATGTTCAGTGATTTAGCTGGGAACATTTCCACTGAAAAATGCAGCAAACCTATAAGTTCCACGTAAAGCTGGCAATATCCTGTTTTTACACCATAATCTGCCAAAACTAAACTTTAACTATTGACACACCAAGATTGAAGCAGATTTTAATTGTACATAGTGTGTATTGTAAACAATAAAACCACATTTTTTACAACTTCATTAGACTGCGAGCGGTCCCTCCTTTCCGTGGGTTTAGATTTCCGAGCATGCCAAAGGAAAGGAGGGAGTCTGCCAACAGCACATCAAGAAACGAAATATGCATTGCCCACACAACACAAATATCCCATTGGTTGAAATTGTTATGCCTGTCAATCAAATCTGATATGTGGTAATTATGTTATAAATAATTTCCAGACTGAATGTTGATTTTATAAATAAACATGACATTAATGGTTCCTATTGGATAGATTTAATTGGATATAAGTAATGTTTATGCAAAGGCAGAGCCAACTTGACAAGAGCGAAAAGTGGGCATATTTGTTTCTTGATGTGTTGTGGGCAGTCCCTCCTTTCTCCAGAGGGACTGCTTGCAGTCTACAACTTCATTGTTGGTCATCTTGTGATTTTTCTCTTGCTTTTTAAAATAATCGGCAGGTACTGATTAATGGGCCGATTAGTTATGATAGTAAAAGTTTTCAGGAAAAAAATATGCAAGAGCACAGAGATAAAAAAATTCCTGCAGAAAAGATGTAGGAGTACAAAAAAATTTCAAGCACCAAAAAGTCACCCACCTCACCCCACTCCCCCACCTCACCCCACTCCCCCATCAAAAATCAAATGAGTTAATACTAAATAGCACTTAAATGGCTTTCTAATCTTCAGTGGCTGTGATTGGTTTAATAGATTTCATGTTTAAATTGGAAGCCTGTTGACTGTTGCATTTTATAATGCCACGCCTTGTTTTGGTGTTTTCAAATAATGTACAGTATGTTTTTCATATTGGAAAAGTCTGATTTAATCCGAGTTACAATGAAAAGTCGGGGAGAAATGGAATTTAACGTTTTCTAGTTTATATCGACAAAAACGTTTGCACTGTGTATATTTAACGCAACGCTAGTGTCATAATACTCTACTCGAGACGAATCTTGCAAATTTAACAATAAATGACACCCAAAAAACATGCGAAAAAACCCATACATACCCTTTAGATAAACCTGAACCATCTAAGATTATTTTGGTCTCTGTAACATGACCAAAAACTTCGAAAAAGTCCGCCAATTCATAAGCACTGGTCTAAAAAAATGAAATGCAAATATATGAAATTACGACGCCAAAATGGTCGCAAATTTTCTGAAAACTAGCAAGTTAATGCAAGGAAATTAAATATTTTTCAAGATACTGTAAAGTTATTCACGTTTTTTATAACAATTCAAAAGCGCGGCAAAACAGCTATCGATGAGAAATAGAGATGTTTCTTTTGCGGGGAAATTCATCGGCAAAATTTTTGACACGCGGTAGAACACACACGATGTCCAGGGTTTATAGTCAGATTGCCGAAAATTCACTGCAGGATTCCAATATCACATTAATTAAGCACTGCTTTAGTATTAATAATTTAGTTACTGTCTTTAAGCTATACTTGACTGAATCATTTGAATTATGCTAATGTTTTAGTTCATGATTGAGTTCGCAAGCAAATTTGCCCATACCGATGACGATGTTATTTTTCTGTTTAATAAAATTTCTTAGATTTCCAAATGTTTCAAAAACTCCTACTCCTATGCATCATGCTATAAATAAAGTATAATGTATCATTGATATAGCTCAATAGCTTTTAAGCTAAGCATTTAACCGCTTTTTGGTAAAAATTCGAGCGTTCAACTTAATATAAACTCTAAAAAATCCCCGTCCAATACTGCAACCAAATACATCCGTACTTACATCTAACGGTAAGCCTCCAACAAAAATTCTGTTTGGGAACTTCTTTCCGAATAAATAAGTTTGGATTTCAGCCTGAAATGGAAATGATTGAACTTAAAAACAGCCCGGCACGTGGAAAGCGGCCGAAATTCATAAAACGGGAAATCAGCTTCACACTTCGCAATTGCTGTATGGGTGGTAAAAGGGTGGTATGAATCCAGCAATCCTACTGTTTTTAATTTACTAAACTTCACATCAGAATAATTTTCCAAAGCAATCACATATGAATAGCAAGAGATCGTATACTGACAGAAGATTTGCTGCAATATATACTTCATGCTTGCATGCATACCACATATATAAATGATCAATATATTAACACGACCATACAGCCATTTTTCCAACAGTATATGCAAGATAACTATAACTATATACAACTACATAACTACATAACGACTTACCATTGTAGCGTGGTTCTTTTACGATCTTTTTCTGCAGCAATCTGGAAACAAACAAGTGTTTATTTGGATTGCTATATTTTCACTCGATGTTACAATTGTCCAGTGAACCTGTAATATAATAATCTTTGATAGCACGGAAATTAAGTGCTCAAGAGGTCCTTATCTCTCTACTATCTTGCAACAAATGACACACTCAAAATACTTTGTTTTGAATTTTACACAATATCAATTTCATTGAAAACAATAGCATTCCGAAAAAGGGCATTCGCAGTTCCCTCTTTGGAATGGAAATCTATTCATCGAACGTTCGGATGTAACAGATAACACCAAGTTACATCAAGCATGAAATTCCTTTCTACAATGTCAATGAGATTTTCTTTTAAAGCAAAAAAAGCTCAAGTAACTTACTGTAAAAACTTACCAAGTATATTGTCGTTTTTCAACTTTGAACAGACACCCCTCCTAACCCGCGGAAAAACGTTTGAGAAATGACGTTTGATTTGGCACGTGAACAATTTATATCGAACGGCACGAGGTGCGCAATTAAATTTGCGCAGATACTCATTTTTGTTTTGGGGAACACGCGAAATATATACTGTCTTTGCTTTGATATGAAAGTGATCAAACTCGGACCATCTAAAAAGGCCTGCCTGTAGTATTATCGGCACGTTGTTTCGATAGGATGTTTTTGAAACGTTTTTATAGCGCATTGCAAAACGACGCAAATCATGTTTACACTATCAAAGTTTATTTCTAAGTTTTGAAGGATTTGTAGGAAATGTTTGAGGAAAATGACTCATGTGTGAGTCGGGCAACTCTGATTCAGTTCTCTCAAACATTTCTTACAAATCCTTCAAAACATTACATTGGCCTACATTAACATGAGTGAAAACTGTCTTTGGACTGAAGAAGATCTTGTTATAATCGAAGTCAAATTGCCAGTTTTTGCCGTTTATTAGTAGGACATATATGTAAAACAAGATATTTTGAGGTGTTTACAGTAAAATTCAGCTATAATAGTGTAATATTAAAACGACTTCGAATGAATAATTGAAACGAACTAGTATTTACCAGTAAAGAGAAATTTAACACGAAACTCGAAAGTTAAATTGAACAATGAACATCGATATTAAGTTATAAGTATGTTGAAAACTGGGCAAAGCCAAAGGAATAACGCCGTTGCCACATACTTTGTCTTTGAGATGGTTTATTTACAGAAGGGTTTTGTAGATGGAAATTTTGAGTGTGAATTTTGTACATCTATACTAGATCTAAGCATGCAGGAGCAGTTTCATATAATATACCAACTTCTTAAACAAATTAATAGAATTCAATGCAAAAATTTAATCTGCGGCGCTTTCCCAGATTGTATCGATCTTGAATACTACGTAATGGTTTTTGGCACGCGACAATTGTCGGAATATGAGTTATTCCTGGTGGGATTACACCTCTTGCATGGTTAATGATGCATAGCATGGTTATTAACGTCACCGCGCTTTCACAAAAACAAACGATGTCGATGACTCATACTCATGGCTATTAGGTTTGATAATGATTTTGAAAATCAAAATATTAGTATACAATATTACAGGGTGTATAAAAAAACGAGCATAGCACTATGTTGAAGCCACGGGTGCGTATAAAACTGAACTAAGTCTAGCTAGGTATATATTTCTAGATCAGTGATAAAACAGACTGATGACTAATTTTATGCATCATCAAAACTTTAATTTGGTTTCTACATTAATTTAAAGCGCGTTGAACAGTGAAGACTTGTTTCTCTGTGCCTGTGGTCAGTTGAACCAGTTTTATTCGAACTGATGATATGACTGATTAACTCACTTGAATTTGACAATTAGAAGCTATTTCAAATTCTCATCTCAGGAGCATAAAATCTTGTGCTGAACAACAGTACTCAATAGCTTGATTTCTAAAGGTCTCGATCGTCTTTTTATACACCCTCGGTACAGACTATAGTATATCATGTTTATTTCTCAAATCTTGGGTGCTTTTATTCCGAGTATATTCTCTTTGTATGACAGTTGCACACATGGTCATGGACATGGAGTTTATATGTCGATGTGTATAAAAGCCTACTGAAGAAAAAGTCTTTGCCTTTGGGTTTCTCCCGTACGCTGACGCTGTATGCAGATTAATCAATTATTAATTAAGTTCATTTGCTGGAAAACCCCCACCTGACTTCCTAACGTACTCATCAGTTTAGAAGCAATGACGTATAAACATACAAAGAAAATAGAACCCTCGTAAAAAATAGCCTAAAATATTTACCTTCTGTTTTAAATGAAGCAACTTTTTCTCAGGTCTATATATGATTACGGATGCGCGGCAAGACTGATTTAGAGCGCTAGTGTTACCTCTAACACAACCGACAATGCCGTCAAACAGACTAAGAAAAACCTATACGAGTGAGCAGCTGCGAAAAATACAACCGCTAGGCCATCTGGCAGGAATCAAGTTTGCGGCCCTGTGATTCTATTGTCGAGCTTATATAAAGGCAATGCCAGTGTATAAGGCGTATGCCCAAACATTAGGACTTTGGATATAAAAGTGGGTATAGACTATAGATAATTAATTTACTCTATTCTTATTATATAAAGGCAATGCCAGTGTATAAGGCGTATGCCCAAACATTAGGACTTTGGGTATAAAAGTGGGTATAGACTATAGATAATTAATTTACTCTATTCTTATTTTTTTAGTATTACACATTTAATATTGCAAAATACCAACATATAAATATACCAATTAATTATAAAGTTAAAATAGCTGGCAGAAATTCGATTTAAGCTCAGTCTGTTCTGACTCTGGTATACAGTATATCTCATCCTGAAATTTGTAATATTATATTCTAATTCTATCCATCTTGGCTCTTGCCCTGCCGCGATTAGCTTTATTGCGTTCGACGAAGGAGAACGCTTCCTAATCGTGACGTCACGGCTGGATGCTGTGTCCTTTTGAGATTTTTTGGATGTAACATTTGCCTCGCTTTCGTGTTCATGGCATTTGCCTCGGTTTCCGGTTTCGTGCGGCGTCTTTGTGTTCCCATGTGCTTTCCATATTTTGCGAAGACAGAAGGAGATTTTAGCTGTTGTTTTGGGGTTTTTCCTGCGGTTTAATGTAAGGTAATCGGTGGTGTTGTGTTATTTTTATTACACTTATCAAAGGTACTTACCAAAGCATCAAGAATTTGTCTTGTGGTGTTTTATCGACTGGCAATCCGACATTTCAATTTGCTATCTTTTTAAATTGTCAGCTAGAGTTCACAGATTTAACTTGAGTTCGCTCTGCTTAATAAAGGGTTTGGATGCATGTCCAGTATATTCTCTTTGGTCATTGAATGTTGATGAAGTAAACGTTGTTAAGCATTTTAATTTGCAGAGCTGTGTCATAGAATAAAGATCTGTGGCTGTGTTGAAAAATACGAGTTTTAATTAAGCATGACAATTGACAAATAAATACACAAATCCCAGTTTGGCTATAGTATACTAGGTGGACATACAAATATACAAATCCCAGTAATTTTGTTGACACAATGAACCTAATCAGTAATCATAATATTCATAGACAAGCAGAGCGAAGTTTTACTGACGAATTCAGCTGTATTTTTCATGAACATTTCTTGCCATGTTTGACCCGTGCTACCAATGAAATTTCTGATGCTTTTATAAATTAGTCGGTTGGAACCTTTGTGTTTATATGGAAGCTGGGCTGGCCCGCTTAGTGAGACAGCCTGGTAAGCGGGATGAATTTCTATTTCTCTTGTGTTAACAATTTTATTGTTTTGACAGTGGTTAAAAATAGCTTGTGGCGGTATCTTTGAATTTTCATCCCTGGAACCGGGCTAGCCTGCTTATGAGTATTATATGGAGAAATTTCCATCCTGGTATGCGAGATCTCACCTCTTTCAAGTGAGATATCGGCAACCGGGCCATCCCGCTTGTATTCAGCAAATAATAACAGCAACTTGCATTGGAATATTTTGTTCGCTTATAGTGAATATAGTGCCATATAACTGTGAAAGTTCACCTGGTGACTGCTTTTTTGCATCCTCAGGACATGGTCTTTATAAAAATCCTAATTTGCCATCTTGATATTCGTAGTGCAGGCATTACACATTTAATGCATAATCCTGAGTTATAAATAGAGGATATTACACGGCGGCATGAAGATATGACTTTTATCTTTGAGCGGTGAAAACAATATTTTATGAACGAGTTACGAACGAGTGCAGCGAGTGAGTAAAATATTGTTTTTAACACGAGAGGATAAAAGTCGTATCTTCAAGCCACCGTGTAATGTTCTGTTTATTATATAGTCCCAAGCAAAAAATGTATAAATACTAAGTCACGTGATCGATATCTTCACTAGTGAAGATATGGGTATCTTCACTAGTGAAGATATGGGAAATATCTCACTGTGTATTTTTTTGTATCTTACTCTCTACTATACTGTATAATAAATTGAAAATATTTTATGGGAAAATTATGTTGAAGAAATGTCACAACCTGGAACATGGTATCATTATCAAGCAGGAGCAAATGCTTTAAGCTGCACTATTCATATTACTGATTCCAGTCCAAATGCTAATGCAACCATTGTAAACCCTTTACA